GCATGCTATTTAATTTACTAAGCAAAAAATGGCATCAGGAAACAGAACGTAGGAAGAGAGGTAGTTGTCTCCCGGGTTGTGATGCACGAAGGGCGAAGGGAGATCGATACGCGAGACAACGTCGGCTCGAAACGTGTCATCACATAAAGATCTTCGGTATACATCGTTAACGACGGGAACGCGATCGCGTGTTGTCACGACGGCCGTTTGCGCGAGTATAACTTGGATAGCGAGTGGAGATACACGAGGGCAGTTCTCCGTTCAATTTTACAGGACTCTCTAAATATCGAAAGTTCCAAGTCGAAACTCCCAAGTTCCGCAGCGCCAAAATTCTCAAGTTTCGCCGCTGAAAAACACCGAGCTCGAGATATTTGTTCCGATCGTTCGTGACTCACGGGCGTGACCAGCGGGGCGTTTTATTCGAGGAAAAACCTCGGGATCCACCGAAGCAGGATCCAAGTTCGCCGGATAACGCGCGCGCCACGGGCTCGATCATTAATAACAATGAACAACGGCGCGCGCATAAACACACGCGTGGAGGCGCGAGAAATCATTGTAAAACTGCGCGCGGAGCTCGGAGAGCGGAGTCGCGCAGCTGTAAATTAGTTAAGACGGTTGAGCATGGAAGAAGAGAAATGGCAGCTCTGTGCCAGATTTTCACCGTGTCTCCGTCTTTTAGCGCGCTCTTTCCTCTCATGGCCGTGTTTTGTTCTCTCCGTCGGCCTGCCGCTCGTTCGTGCGCATACTCGAGCATCCGGCGGGTCTTTCGCGCGCCGCGCCGCGCCGCGCCAGGGTGAAAAAAGAAAGCCCGCGGGTGCAGCGAGCACGATAAAAATAAATCGACACGAGCGAACATCGCGAGGGACTCGGGAGTTTCGCCGCTCGTAAATTTCACGGGGCGTCTGCCGTGGAAGGGGCGCATCAGCGACTCGATCTTACTTCCCGCGAAATTTGCTTGTGATTTTCCCCCGCGAGCGCTTTACGCGGCCGCTTAATTAGCGAGCCACTGCGAGCGAAGATTGATTGGGAAAGTTATTTGACGGAAGCGAGAAGGGTGCGTTAAAGTCAGGATATACGACTTGCCGGCAGAAATAGCGGCGAAGCCGCCTTGTCACTTTATAGCGCGCGCGCCGGACGCAGCGCGATCGGAGTTTTTCATTGTGTTTCACGTCGCGCGAATCGAAGCTTCGCGTTGCAAACGCGATATTGCGTATTGCCAAGTCGGAAGGTAACGACGATGTTGTCGTTGATGCACGCGTCGAACTGAAGGCCCTTGCTGCTCGCGATACCAAAAAGTGACCGATTGTCAACCGGAACAATGACTGTTGTCCCCGAGTAAATTTCTTATCTTTCTTATCTATAGCTTTCCAGTCATTAATTTAATTTCCGCGCCACTCGTTCCCGCGAATGTCGTTAAATTCCAGCGCTGCTGAGGGAGAACCGTCGAGAACGAGACAAGCGAGTCGGAAACGGACACGGAACGATCGTGAAAGATACATTATCGTTGCTTCGGATGCCAAGGTCTTCGCGTGATAACGAAACTCGATGAAAGTCCAACAACCGCCAGGACGGATAATAGAATTCACAATGAGAAGCGGAAAAACCGCAGCGATATTTCCCTCTCTTGCAAACGCGGCTGAAGGTGGATCGTACAGCGATGGCGATGAAACAGGACAAATGCATGGCGAACTGTTTACAAACGACAGCAATAAGCATCTAACGTGCGATCCGCTCCGTTGAGTTTAGTTGTAATACGAAACGTTAACGCTTTTTCGTCTTCTTCTTGAACAAGTCCAAGTATCCGCGAATGTGTTTTCTCATTTCGATCTTATTTTTCTTAGATATATTTCTATACTAGTAAAATGAAAGGACCGGAAATGTAGAATTTTTTAACTGCAGTCTGCGGATTAAATTAAATTGTCGATTTTATTATCTATTCTTAGCTCATTAGCCCTTATTTTAATTGGCGGCATAGCGATCTTTTAACAATATTTCTGAGAATTATAGAAATATAAGATTAGCTCTTTCCATTGTTATTTTTGCGTTTGAGAACGTCGAGAGAGAGAGAGAGAGAGAGAGAGAGAGAGAGAGAGAGAGAGAGAGAGAATGGAATTTTTATCAAATTTTTGTCAAATTGAAAACGCTTAATCGTACGATCCCGTTCCATTTCTAGCCAATAATTTTAACGCAAGAAGTCATAATCGGAAGAGATCATAGATGAAAAAATGAGGACGGATCGTTAATTTCGGGGTGAGACTCGCTCTATGTCGTGATAACTTGTGTTTGAGAGACACAGAGGGTAGAAAGATGATATCGATAAGTGGAATGAATGGAGTTTTTATGTGCCCGCTTTTTCCTTCCCTTTTACAAAGGCAACGCGCGATATCGCTAAAACAAACGACACGTATTTCTTTTTTTTTTTCTTTTTGGAGGAGGGGGGAGATTCGAGACTCGCGTTGTGTAATAAAAACGGCAGCACCGCAGGGAGTCCGCCGCGTATTAAAAGAAGGGGTACGTCTGGGAAATGCGACAATGTGCGGTCATATTCTTGACGCAAAAACAGGCCGAGCTTTTCCAGGCAAGCGTTCGTCAGCGAAACGACATTGGTCCTTTTTCAAACACGCGAAACCTCCGACTTTTACTTTTCCGCAAAAGGAGGAAACGAGACGAAATTTAGGTATTTCTTTCGTCGACTTGAAATAATCAAGCGAGTTGTAGGCCAAACAATATCGAAAGTACTCGCGATAGGCGTTGCGAATGGTTTTATACGTGCATCGCGTTAGGTGCGATGACCTCAGATATAACGTAACTCGTGCCGTCGGATAACGTTGCCTCTATGTCGCTATATTTGTCTCTTTGAGGGGTCGTCGAACGGGTAGACGAACGGGCCGTCCCGGAATTCTTTTCCCGATTCATCAATCCGTTCGTTTATTCGCTAACCACGAGAATTATGCAACGCCAATCTCTCACACGGTTATCCCGGCGAAAGGATATCGACCCGCGAAGTCCGCGCGCGCTCAAACAACCCCGGACGAGACCGCTTAGGTGCACCTAGTGGTAAAAAAACGAAACATGCACGCGTATGTACGATGCTTCGATCTTCGCTTTCATCTTGCAATTCTTTTGGCGGTTGCGACTCTCCGTGGCAGTTCTCGATTTCGAACCTCCTGGTTTTTTCGAACGTTCCATTTTCACGGGCAGACTTGGAAAAGAATATAGTGATAGTTTTTTCAGAGAGCGAAAGAAATATCCTTCTATGTGTGAGTATGTGTGTGTGTGTGTATGTGTGCGCGCGCGCGCGCGGCTCTGTGTTTTGATTCAAAATAACATAAAGTGCACGTTTCAGAAGAAATCGATAAACGCATTCGCAGCGCGGAGGAAGAGGAGAGGGGGGGAGGGGTCGCGCGAGCCCCACGATAGCATCGGCGAAGTAAGTGTTATGGGTAATCGACCTCGAAATCATTGCCAGTCCGTTCCCCAGTTAGATACTAAGCTACGACCGCGCGTTTATTTTTCCTCGCCGGCAGATTACTCGACTCGGGCCTCTCGTCGCTCGCGTAATCGATTCCTCGCCGCAGTCATCGATCCTATTAATCATCCGGCCTAGCGCCGAATCTTCCCACAAGGAATAATCATCGAGAAGCCAAGCCAACCGAGGCGCAGCTGGGAGGCGATTAAAATCGATAAAAATTACACGCGGCTTGCAAGCACCACGGCTTAAAACGTCGGAAATGGTGGGGATTTAAATTTGCAAATAAGCGGAACAGCGCGTTAGCGAGACTTCTTCGAGCGCGTAATGGCGCGTTTAAGAGGCCGTGGAGCTCGACGTTGTCGAGCAAGTGCGAGAAAATTTGCGAGCGGCCAGCCCCGCGGAAATATAAAAATGCCTGACGAAAATAGATCAAACCGTTACACCGAGACAGACGCTTCATATCGACCGTCTTCTATCGCCCTCCCGGAGAAGATGGAAGAAGATAAAGCTCTTATTTTCACCGTGCGTTCAGCCTGCTACACAGCGCGTGGTGCACGACGAGTCAACGTCGTCATATTTATACATACGGTCATATTTAGCGCTACGCTTGACGTTGCTAAGTGACGGGCAATAAAGACGCGGCAAACTCCTTCCACGTGCAATCGACGGAAGGAAACTGCTTAAGAATCAAGGAGATAAATGACAAAACGGGACAGATATAATCGAACGCGAAAGCCGACGCACACCACGTCCCAAGTCCCAAGTGTGTGTCCACTTAAAAGTTTTGTAGTCCCGAGAGCATTCCTCGAACGGCGGAACTTCACAGCCAAGACAGAGAGATTGAACTGATTTTCTCGATTGTGAGCGTTGAGCAATTTTATAACTCCTGCGCGGCACGAGTCGCGGCTAATAAAATTCTCAACTGCGCGCTGCTGGTTCAACTCTCAATTAACGCGATTAAAATTGAGTGACCGCAGCGACAATCTCGGCGACAGTGACGGGGAGGTATTTTATTCTCACTTACGTGCAGAAGAAGAGAATTTTATCGCTGACTGCTGGTCGAACAAGTGAAGGAGACCCGCTACGTGTAAACGATTGTAGAAGAACAATAGGATAAAGCATGAATCGATCGGCGTTGCTCCTTGCATTAAATTTGGCTCGAGAGGAGTTGACGTTAACAATAATTCCGTAAACTTTCATGACCAAGTAGGAGCGAGGAAAAAGAATTCGCCGACCCGGAAAAAGTTGCACGCATAATTAATAGTCGTGTAAGAAGCAGAGCACGCCGACAAGCTGAAGCGCTAATTTATTAAAATCGCTCACCCAGTTTCCAAGATTTTCTAAAACGTCACCGGGATAAGATTTGATCCCGCCTTAGCGGTTGCAGCTTACGACAGTCCGCAAGTTCCCGGAACTTCGTAAACAGCCCCTTTCGTCTTTCGAGCAGTGCGGCGGAGGGTTGGTGGGGGAGGTGGCGGGGGGTGAAAGTCGCGTGGCAGCGCGATCGGCGTTCGTTGAACCCTCTTACCTTAGCGTCTCCCCGCGCCGGGGCGACGGCAGCACGCAGCCAGCACGTTCATCCCTGCGCCGCGTTGCATCGCCGCCCTTCCTTCTACCCACGTCGTTGCGGCGCGCGGCGCGACCCTTCACCCGCGATCACCTCGGTCGAAATTTTTCAAAGCTCACACACGACACAAGGCGAGTCGCGCGGTAACATAACTATCGCGCGGAAAAGTGCACCACTCTTCCACTCCCGCGGCCAGACACCCCGCACGCGACGTGGCCGGCCACCCCTGCGGATGCCGGTGGTTCGTGAAAAAAAAACAGGAACGGGGGAGGGCGGGAGAAGAAAGAGAGCGAGCGAGCGAGAGAGAGAGAGAGAGAGAAAGAGAGACAGATGGAGAGAAAGAGAGAGAGAGACAGATAGAAAGAAAGAGAGAGATAGAGAGAGAGAGAGAGAGAGAGGGGGAGAGAAAAAACAGAGCAACGCGCGTGGTTGTCGGACGAGCCGGCGGCCGACGAGACACACCACGACGGACTGGAAATAGGGTTGAAAACGTGGTTGCCTTCGCTACGCCCTCGTGCGCCGTCGGCCGGCCTCGGTATGCTCCGCCGAAGCGTTCCAAGTCGAGCGGGATGCGACCTCAGGGCCGTCGCACCCGTCTATAGCGCCATTGGGGTCACGTGTGGCGCGGCGCGGCGCGGTGCAGCGTAGCGAAGGGGTTGCGAGGGGGTGGAAGCGGCATGGAGTGCGCGTTGCAATTTCCAATCCACGCGCCGCGGTCACCGGCTTTTCGGAGCGGCGCCCCGTGATGTATCGATTATTGACTCTAGCGTGCGCTATTCGATTTTTAGATTTTACGAGGATTACACAGTTTGGCTCCGGCGGAGCCGAGGTAAAAATAGACACCCGCCGAGAGAGAGAGAGAGAGAGAGAGGGGAGGAAGCAAGAACGTTACATGCAGCGTTCAGGATTAGTCTAATCACAAAGTATCTTTGAGTTTAGCTCGACGAGCTTTCAAGCGCGAGGCAAGGTTCTTTATATATAGATGAGACCAACTATGTACGCAAAGACATTCGAGTGCTGCTACGTGCAATTTCGAGTACCTAGGGTACGAAACTATTTAAAGTTCATGTAGGCGAAATAGTTCCGAGATGCAACAGCACCAAGTTTTCAAGAGCCGACGGGCAAGAGAATATTCAATATTTCAACGATGACATGCCTTCCGCCATTTGAGAGCCTTAGAAACAAAAAGGATAGTATCATCGGTTATTCATTTCCAACGTTCGTTAAAGTTATCGAAATATATATATATATATACACATATACAGTGGCGTGCAAAAGTTTCGAGCCATAGTGTCTTTTTAAGATACATGACAATACATTGATTTGCTCTAAAAATTAATTATATAAAATTGTTGACATAACATTCTTACAAATAATAGTACAGTTACAAAATTTTGAAATTACATAGTTTCTAATTATTTAGTCATATAATATTTACATGTGTTCAAAAGTATTGAGCCATATTCTTGTTATGACTTTATGAGCCCGATTTGTTTTTTATGAAACTCCTTCGTAAATATTTGCTTTAACTAAGTTCAGTCTATTGTCTACCGCAATGCCGAAACATACAAGCCTTCAGTTAATCACGGCTTCGCCGTGATTAATCTTTCTCAACAAGGAAAGATTTCTCGCGAAATTGCTAATTGCTTATTAATTGATAAAAGTAATTGTAAATAGGATTATTGCTAAATATAAGTTGAATTCTCTAGCTGATAAATCACGAAACGGTAGACCTCGCAAAACTACAAAGCACGTCGATAAAATGATTAAAAGAAAGTCGATAGCAAATGTTAGAAAAACTGCTATGGATATTTCTCGAAAACTACGAGAAGAAAATCTTGCTGATATTGGTCCAAGTACAATATCTCGACGTCTGAAGGAAGTAGGACTTTTAGGACGTATTAATGTAAAAAAACCATTACTTAGTGCAAAAAATAAGAAAGCTCGATTAGATTTTGCAAGGAAATTTGAACATTGGACTGAAGTTGATTGGCGAAAAGTACTTTTCTCTGACAAGTTAAAGTTTCAGTTATTCGGAAGTGACGGTAGAAAGTATATGTACGACGTCCAACAGGCACAAGATATAACTCGAGATACCAAATTCCTACCGTAAAACATGGTGGAGGTAATGTGGTGGTTTAGGGATCATTTTCTTATAATGGAGTTATAATGATTGCTTCCAAAGGCATGGCAACAAAGTATTAAGTTTAAAAAAACGTCGACAACATTTTCTGTTATTATTTTTCAATAATATATTTTTCTTATGCACAAGAAAACTTTTTGGCGCAATACTTTTGCACTGTTTGTAATAAGACATTGTGTAAAAATAAAGTATTTAGAATTATTAAGAGTTTGTAAAGTTTATATAATTGTAGGACAAATAAATACATTTTGTTTATATATATATGTGTAAAGTTTTTAGCGCTTATTATGAAATGAATATATAATAATAATTGTATGGCTCAAAAGTTTTGCACGCCACTGTATATTCTGATCCGATATGTATATATACATATATTCCGATGGTATATAATTGATTAGCCTGGTTAACGTCGATTCTATCCGCGTGAAAGCTGATTGGCTAGAAAAAATAGATGCAACGAGAATACCGCGCACGGGGATATCGATCCTCTGCCAACCGTCTTTGCAGGCACTTTACCTCATGATTAATCTAGCAATTGTCATCCTTAATTTAAACACCGGAGTCTGCAGCAATATTATTTCTTACTTTCTTCGTGCGGATCGATTGAAAGCATTATTGCTGATATCGATTTCAACAGATAGCCGGGGCCAGAGTACGCCGGGAAGGAGGAGATCGATTCTTGCCTTGTGCCTTGCAATTCCAATTCCCGTGTCCAATAACCTAATCTCTTAACGAATCTATAACAAAAGCGTACTCTTTCGCTACGCGATCATGACGCATTTAATGGCGTGATTATTTCGTTAGAGAGAGCTCGCGCCTCTCGCAAAAGTAATTCCCGTGTAAGAGCTTGCGCGATGATGCGATTGCGTGAAATTACTATAATCCCCTCCCCCTCCCCCCTCCTCCCCTTCGAAATAGCTGCCTTTTACCTGCGCTTTTGCACACGGAGCGCGCTTGTGCACTCCTTTCTTTTTTGATCCTTTGAACAGGCTCGTAATTTAGCGAAATTAATGTGCGGCTGAGTAATTACAGGCGCATGCGAGGCCACTGTAAAACCGGCATACACACGCCGAATACGATTACGAAGTACGCCATAAATAATATCTCCGGCGAGGCCCGCGGCATCATAGCGTAACGGAAGATTTCCCGGCGGAGTTGAGGCCAGTTCTCGCGGAATCAACCGCGAACATTCGCTTTATCGCGCGGCCCACGCTCAGCGCGCATCTCTTCTCAGTAAACGAATTAACCCATCGCCGCGGGTTAATCCCTTCTAAACAGCAATTTTCGCGAACCTCCCTTCGGCCGCCGCGATATCGCGCTACAACTTTCCCCGGGTTAGGTGTTCTTCGCGAACTTGTTAGCGGCTCCCTCTCGGGCGGCCTACGACGTGGAAAGTGACGCGTACGATTTTACGAGCGCGACAGTTTCTGAGATTGTCGAAGGCTGCACGTTATTCTGGAAAAATATTTTTCAATCTCCGTGACAGGGCTTGTCGCCGCGCGTCAGCTTCGCGGAGACTTTTACGCACGTCGACAGAATTCAACGAATTTGTCGACGTGACACCGACGATATAAATATATATATATTTTTTTTGTCACACGAGGCAGAAACTGTTATCTCACACTTTTACAGTCGACGTATTTCAGATTCGCTCGCGCGAAACCTGACGCGCAAACGAAGTTTTTTTCCGCGGCATCTTTATACTTCTACGACGATTATATACTCGCGAGGAAAACATATCAGGCGATTGTGATGCGCGGCTTTCTTTCTTTTTATTAGAAGAAACTTGTTAGCGAGGTAGCGAGTGATATTGTCATATACGAGATATCGATCCGACCGCTATAACATTCAGGTTATTCCATGTATCCGTTCGATTTATTGCGTCGCTAAGTTTCCTACTTTTTCGCTCTTTTTTTAACGTGCAACCGTTAAAGTACGTTGACGTATTTGTTTGATTGTTAATTTGTCGAGTTTCATGAAATAGGTCACTGGTCGGCTCGAAGTGTCCACTCCTGAAAGCGGTTAATATCGCGCACCTTTAACGACCGCCTTTGCTCGTCGTTGACGTCGTCGCTGTCGTCATTGTTATCGTCGTCGGCGTCGTCGTCGTTGTGTCATCGCCGGCGCGGATGTCGTTGTTGTATGCGCGCGCGATTCGCCAGGTCGCCATGGCGACATAAATTCAAAAATACACGCCTAGCGGAATAGATTATTGCACGTTACATAGTAGTAGCTAAAGTCGTAGCTAAAGGCGTGTCGACAACGTGTCGTCGATCTCGAATCTCAAGGTAACTCCTATCTTGCAATGGGGGTTATCAAGGGAGCATGTCAATGCTTATATGTAGGAAATGAAGAATATATATAGGAAACCTAACCTAACCTAGGAAATGTCAGTTTAACGTTATAACAATAATAATAATAATACAAAATCAAATAAGAGCGTCAGTGAAAACGTCATTAGCAAACATATTTTTCGAGTCGATGAAAGCGGTCTAATTTGTAACTTCTGACAGAAAGACAGAATATGTGAACAACTTGCCTATATTAATATAATTTTTCTATAATATTGGATGAATGAAAAAATCTTAATAAATTTTAACAAATCTTAAATCTTAATAATAAATCTTAAAAATCTTAAATTTTTCAAAGATGTGGCTAATTTTATGGTAGTACTTGCAAATATGTAGACGTATATATATGGTTGGATAATAAAAATAAGGGCAATTAACGGATTGACTAAATTATTTTTAATAAAATTACTTAGTCCAAAAGATATACCGAAATTTTTCCATCCAGAAATTCATCAAAACATTTGCATTTGAACAAAATGAATTATCTCTCTGTGACAAAATTTTCCTATTTTCCTCTCTATAAATTCAAATTCACAGTTGCGAGCACGTCTTATGAGATTACATCGAAGGTATATCTTTCCAGTAGACATGTGTTAACAATTAAGACAGTTGTATACATTTGTCTTATTAAGGACCTTATTAAGCATTATATATTTAGGCTTTTCCTTCACTTCATCAAATATTTGGCGATGCAAAGTAATTTTGCAACAACCGTAGTTCATATTTATCTCTACGTTAAATTTGGTTCTAAAATACATGTGTATTGAATATCTACCATTTAAGTTTATCAT